TGTTAGGGAGAAGGTAGCGTGTGTGTGCTAGCCAGAAGTTAGAGGATCTGATCTGTGTCTGGGCGGCGCGTGAGTGTGGGTGGTGTGGGTGGATGGGCGGGAAGAGGCGCGCGTGCACCACGGCGTCAGTACATGGTAGTTTGTGAGCTATCTGTGTGGGATGACTGGCTGGCTTGGTGGTCGGATGGAAGAAGGAAACGGACGGGCGGTGATGACGACGGGATGACAGACCAAAATGGACGGAGTCGCTCGTAGATCTTGCGCCGAACCAAACAAGCAATGGAAACGAGAGAATGAACTTCTTCCTATGAAGTCCCACAATCTCTAGCGCCGTACGAGTGTATGAGTGTGCGTTACGGTCAAAAGCTGTTTTTAAGCTCCGACACGCCTCTGGTAACTTCGTGGGCCATTTCCTCTGCCCCAGAGCGGCCGTTTGCTGATCAGCAACAGACAGACACGCGGGCAAACTCGCGATCCACGATCAAGATGATGGGAGGGCAGCTCTCATGTTCCAACGGTCCAAGTGCCTGACAGGGCCCAGGGGGGCGGCCATGGATAGGGACCGTCTCGCCAACAGTCCAAGGTAACTAAATCCTAACTTAGAAGCCAGCCTTGAAGTAGCTACCATAGTAGGTATGTAATGAGGCAGTTTTCCACCGCTGGCTGCCCGGCGCCTAGCTATGTCCTGCCTACTCAATGCAGGAGGTGGTTCGTCGCGGTCCAATACGGGACCCAAGACGACTGCGGAAGGACGCAAGACGCAGGGCCAAGCCCAAGTTTTGCCCACAAGCGTGCGTGTGAGCGTGTGCGGCCACGACGACATGGCTGGGACTTCCGCCGCTCCTTTCCCCGAAGCAGTATCATGCTCGCGGCCCACTAGACGCGATGCTCGCAAGCTTCGCCTCGCCCAGATCTTAAGTTACCTGGGTAGGCACATACCGTAGGTGTGTGTATGATGGTATGTTCCATACCTGTAAGTTAGTCCTGGACTACCTAGCCCCCCTCCAGGTGCCTAGCATTGCCAGATTATCGAATGTGCGAGCGGGTTTTTCTGACCAACAGGCTGGTCTCCTGTCGACCAGGATCGTGCCTCTGCATGCAATCAATACATGTCTATGTATGCAAGGCATATGAAAACGGCCGGGAGGCTTGGGGCGCAATGCGATGCGAGCGAGTGTGCCCATGGTCCACCCGTTGGCCGTATTTGTTGACGTGGATGGTCTGAGAAGAGCGCCTTTTCGTTTTGAGGACGAGTGCGACTTACCCCCTACGGAGTAGTCAATGCCTATCCTCCGCACAGCCGGCCGGCCGTCCGCAAGTATATGCCTCTGGCCTCGTCGTTGTTGGTATGTCGTGGAAGTGGTGAGTTTCATGGTATCCCGGCATCCCAGCAAGAGGACCCTGGACTAGCTCCGATGCACTCGCTCCGCGGATATCTCGCCTAACAAGGAAGTCTTCTAGAGTCTCGCTTCTGAAGCGAGAACCGGGGGCGAAGGAAAACGCCAAACTTTTTTCCCTGCGTTTTCCCTCCCCTCTGAAATCGGGGCCTGTTGCGTTCTGAGCTGGGTGGCGGTGCGTGGATCAGGGGAGCACCCATATACGGTATACGTCCCGCGCATTGATTCCATCCGGATAGCACATCCACCATGCCGCCGCCGGTGCAGCTTGGAATTCCATTGGGCCCCGTTTCTTAGTGGTTGGCGCCGTTGACTAAACCGTACCGTGGAACCCGCTGTGAAGATCCTAGGAAGCAACCCAACAGCCCGCTAAAAAAAAACTCTAAACAAAACTGAACCAGGCACCACCACAAGCCCTGGCAAGCCCTGGCAATCCTGGCCCCCGGGGAAATTCCAGCGCGGACACCTACAACCGCTAATAACCACCCGACGCGATCCACTGACCGGTGCCTCGCCGCCATAGTGCCACAGTAGAGCCGCGAGTGCCAAGACGTCGCTTTTTGATTGCCCAGGATAACAGACTTCAACAATACCTGACGTCTTGGGCAGTTCGTTCTGGCCTCAGCCCCATCAGTTTCTCGTTCAAGATGCTCGCTTCCCCAGCGTAGCCTCAAGTACGGATGTTAAGTGAGCTGGCAGGCTGGTGAGCTGCCAGTGCGAAGACGCTTGTCTCCGCAAGGCGTTCGACCCATTTGGGGCCAAACCCGGATATTACGCATCCGTCACACCTGCAAGGAGTTTTCAGGTAACTATGCTGTATGCAACTACGTACAGTAGGTGTGTTGGTTCACCTCTGGTTGTACGACCCGCCTGCATGCCGGCGAAGCAACCAGCTGTTGCCCTGTCTGTCCGTGGGTTGCATCAATGTTATGTCCCATCTTGGATGCGTTCATTCCACGGCCGTGGCATTCGGAGATGCAGTCTGTCAGTCCTGCCGATGACCCTGGACTGCCGGGCCACGCCACTCGTACGAAATCAGCCCCTCGTACGCAATCGAGTCCAGACACTCGTACGTACCTCCTGCTTCAGTTCGCAAGAGTCTGTCCAGGAGCCCTGCCTCAAAGAAGCATCTGGCATCTGGAACGTTTGGCTTCGGGCTTCGCTTCAAATACCCGGATTGCCTGAGTCGCACCAAGGGATCCAGCTCGTCGTGCTCCCTTCTCTGACCGGTAGTATGCCCACGACCACTCCGTCCCACTCCTCGCATTCCTTCCAGTTTATCCGATTACTCCAAAATGGCATGGCCCGTCTGCTTCATATCTTACGTACCTGCCGGAATGCTCAATCTGGACCTGCAGCTCGCTTCTCTAATTCCCGGTTACGGCTCGGTTGATGTCCACTGATGTGCTGGTCCCCATGGATGATCGCCGCCAAGGGCATATCCCATCGCCTCCCAGCATCGTGGTTGCAAGCGACAGACTGACGGACTGTGGAATTGAGTTGAAGTCACAAAATCCGACGCACTCCGAATTTGGTTCCTCCTCCTTGAGCAGCTCCGGAATATCCTGAGATGAGCATCATCACATCCTACTGAGCTCCACGGCCCTGTTTGGGGGAGACTACCCAAGATACGTTGCTATCGTCTGGAGTCCCCTCCCGTTCATGGCGAGTCGACGCATCCACCCAGATCTGCCCCGTCGTCACCCACCTCACGGTTTTATCCGAGTGCACAGTATCTATCTCTTCAGCGCCAGGACAGGTGTCCTGCCCTCGCTCTTGTTAGCTGCTGCTCGGTGTACTATGTTGTCCGATAGGCTATAATTTGCTCAAGAGTTAGAGAAACCCTTGATGCATTGTAGACATATCCACCGACACTATTTGCGCGATCAACTACACGGTACTTGATTCTAAGCTGGCAATCAGGTCGATCCTTGATCCTTGATCCTCACCCGTTGATATGACCCGAGGCGAAGCGGCAAAGTTTGGCGATTTACGTTTGCACCAAGACCATCCCTCTGGGTCCCGGCTGATGTTATTAGCCTCGTTATCATAGTCCCATCTAGACTGCAGGCCTGTTTAGTGGCCTAAGTTTATGAGGATTGTCGTCTTCATCCGCAAGACCACACCAGCCTCCCCTAGTAATCGTTCGTCTTTTGTCTTATCTCTGCAAGAAACATCCAAGGCGATGCGGCCAACTAATAGACCTTGTCGCGTGGTCGATATAGTACAGCATACGAGAAGGAACAGTAGGGCCGGTGCGGATTCGCGGGCCGACCTTCCAAAACGCCACACACTTCTTCAGACGCGCGTTAATTTCTCCGCGTCACGTACATGGGTTCTTCCACAGGGCAGAATTATTCCATACACTCAAGTTCAGGGTAAGCCCGTCGTGCATTCACCTCGTCTTGAATGCCTCATGCAATGTTCAGCTTGGCATCCGAATAACATCCACCACGTCAGTAAGGATATTCTGTTCAAGGTTGCCTTCTGTCGGCCTTTCGTATGCCTAGATCTGATGTCCCTCTCCGCGAGCTTGGTTATCATCCTAGACTGCCTTGACCGATCCACGACCACATCGTTGCCAAATTTTTATAGACTATGTCAGTAGTGCATAACGAGGCTAGTATAATTCTGAAATTCCACTACATTTATACTCTGTATGGTGCGTAGCGGCTCTTGGCAAATGCGCTCAGAAGTACCCTAGAAAATATACGGACATCTCTTCTGCCAAAGTGTGTAGGTTTGAAAGTCCGAAATCAATCAGTTCATGGAAATACTCCACACTGCTTGCGGGGGAGACCATTGCTCTGACACAAGAAGCAAGTAGTATGGATGCTGTTGATCGAGTATATAAGGCTCACTTGGCACTCCTTCGGGGATAGACAGCTCAGAATATGATGTTTTAGAGAAATTAAATGCAGTTGCCCAGTAGTGCATTTGGGATATAGTTACAGATACTCAATACTGCAAGTTTAACATTCTCTATAAAGAATTCACTCTAACGGACGCTCGCCCATGATATCCATTATTCTCAATCATCAGGGATGGGTTAGGTATTAATTACATTTTGGTGGTCCGCACCGTCACAATCAAGGAAACTTGGTGTAGTGCAGAGTGAAGTAAATCTTATATCTGCCACCTGCTCTATCATCATGTTACGGTCTAACAAGGCAATAATCAAACTGTGGTGTCGCGAAATACCAGCAGGTTGAAACAGAATAACTAGGAATCGCCCTCATGAATTCCCTGAGTTTCTCTGACGGCGAGTTTGGTGGCTTTATTCTCTCAAGGATGATCAGGCATTGTGAGAAATAACATCCTCAAAACCTAGGTAGTTTGCATCCTCTCTAGACACAGAAACGCACAGGGAAGAGACTTTATCCGTAGTTTTGTGATGCCATTGAAGACCACCACGAGGCTCAAATATGTAATCCAGACGACGCCATTGCACTTCTGTGTGTATGTGAATGCATATGATGTCTTGTAATGGAACCCGATATCACACGGTGGTCGTGTCGACTTTTTAAGAGGCCTTGATGTATATATCTAAACGGAAAATTCTGAATTCAGAGCCCAGACAGCGGCCCGACGACCGGGGTGGGTGCGCCTAGTTCCTCTACTACCCACTGCCCTTGATCGGTTTTGGCCCAGTTCAAGCACTCTAGATGCACTTCAGTCCATCTTTTGTGGGAAGGCAGCTGCATAAAGTTGAAGAAACCGTGCGGCATTCCTGGGAATATGTGGACTTTTGTAGGCACGCTGGACCCATTAGTATTCATTCTTTTTAGGACGACTGTACCGCGACATACCCCAAGTTCTTCAGCCTGGTTGCGTATAGTAGCGCCTCGTCTCTGAGAACATCGTGACCGCAGACGAGTATAGCCGTCTTCGGCAGGCCCTTTAATTCCTCGTCATCGGCGAGACATGGATTCCACTGCGAGTCCTCCGGTTTGAGCCCGAGCAAATTTTGGAACAAGTCTTGGCGGGGCTTTGAGAGGATGTCCGCGGCCCGGCACTGCTGATAAGAAGTCCTCTCTTTGTCTGCGAATAGATGATAAGGGAACAGGTCCCGGTGACAAAGACTCGGTACACAAAGAACCTGACCTTTGAGTCTCAGCGGTTCGCTCGTTGCCTTTGATCTCCGCAGCTCATGATGCATGATGGCAGCAGTCAAGGCACCGCCAGCCGAGATGCCTCCTGTAATCACATGGCTTGTGTCGACAAGCAATTCGGCCGTGTGGTTCATAATCCACTCGTAGGCGTCGATAGCATCGTGCCAGGGCACCAACCCCTTTACGTGAGGCGTGTGTCGGTGGCATATGTGGACGACACAGATGGACAACGTCATTGAGATCGACGTGCAGTTGTATCTCTCAGTCTCCAGAGAGCCGAAAAGAAACCCACCACCATGGATGTGTATGTACGTGGGCAAGACCGCGGTGGCCAAGTGCTTGGGTCGGTATGCTCGTATCTTTATAGACTGGCCATCGCGAGTTGGGACCACGTAGTCTTGCGTGGCGATCAGTTTCCACAGCCCTGTCTGTGCCAGGAGCGTCTTGGAAAGATTCGTCCTCACGGTGTTGAACCGCGCTTGCAGTTGCTCTGGTGGCCTATCCCACTCACGTGCAACCAGCTCTGGATGAGCCCGCGCAAACGTCATCCACTCCTCGCTTGGGCTGCCCCATTCTGAAAAGTCCATTGTATACCGAGTATATGTATGGCCAAGCAATAATCTCCAAGATCCTTAACGCTCTCACTGCGGCATTTTGGACTTGGGTTGGTATGAATAACCAATCGATATCTGTGACATTCACCCCTACCCCACTTATCGGATCTGTATCTAATATTGGATTTCCCCGACGTCCCGTCAGGGGTGCCGATAGCAAGACCAGGGCAGCCTATAGGTTTTCTATTTAGTGAGGCAAACCATGGATTTGAACTATGATTGTCAACAGATCTTTGACATGATAGATAACATCGTCGTTGTCAGAAGTGCCCACGTTTTGTGCCATCCGCAGTTCACGCTAGCTGGCAAACAATATCTTTGTTCGCTACGTCCATCAATCCAAAAGAATGTAACTTGGCAAAGGTACATAAGAATGAGATCAAACTCGAAGTATGTCGGTAGACTTGTTGGGCCGAGTTCCAGCAAACCTGCACCTCCTTGCTTTGGGGTCGATCTTGACACAATGAACCACTCCACTGAGCCCTCACCTTCCAAGCTCTCCTACGGTGCAGAGCTCGAATTTGCGGTACTATGGGTATACGCGGACGAGGTGAAAGATGGCAAGAAATACTTCAAAGAAGACAGTCTTCCGGAGCCAATCAGAATTCAGCGTCCCAGACCTGCAAATATCAAGTCCTTTGATGCAGAAGCAAGAGTCCGCAATGTAGTCAGGAACGTGCTAGCGGCAGCAGGACTTCCAACGAAGGAGTTCCAGATTTCACCAGGCAAAGTCACCTTGGATACGCATCGTGTCCGATCATATCTACATTGGCAAGTTGATTACGACGATTCAATCGAAGCTGACGACTTGAAACATCCTCTGCAAATCGCCAAGATTGAAGTCACCACACCAGTTGCATTTGAGTCGCCTGCGTCCTTTGAGCTCGTGCGACACGCTGTCAACGTCTTAACGAAGAAGATGCGTCTACTCACAAACATCACTTGCGGCTTGCATTGCCATATTGGACATGGAGGTTCGTGGATGCAATTGCAGTGGTTGAAACGGCTGGGCTCACTTTATTGGGCAAGCGATAAGTTGCTGGCCAGCCTCAACCCACCAGTTCGACAAGTCAGCTACTTCTGTCCCAGTATACGCATTCTGAGCCGACTTGCGCTTGAAAGCCAGACGCCTATGCCACACGACGAGGACGATACACTGAAGTGTGGTACCTACATCGCTACAAATGTCCGGTTTGGAGAGCGACCAATACTTTGGCGAGAGTCGCACGCCGCACCGGAGACCATTGAGGCTTTCAGGCTGACTCGAGAACCAGGTTGTTTCGATGCCTTCATTGACGACGACGCACCGGAGTTTCTTGTCAACGCAAACCCGAACTACAACAGCGATCCTCGCATCCGCGTCGACCCCGATGATCAGGCTGACCTTACCGACTATACATTTGCGCCTTTGGGCAGCCCTCGTAGCACGAGAAGAAACTCGGTTGGTTCGATCGATGATACGATGCCGATGCCGCCAGATGACGCGCAAGTGAAGCTTGCACGAAGAATTGCAAGTCTCTACCCAGTACGCCCGAGTCAGTTCAATCTAGAAGACCGGTTGTCCGACGAGGCACGAGTGAAGAAGCAAGAATTCTCGGATAAAGATAGAGAGAGGCTCATTAAGTACAACGGTGGGTACGGATTGCCGAGCTTCGGAACCGATCGCGGGACGTGGGCTGGTGCGGCCGGTGTCTACCCGCTTGATACCAGTTGCGAGGTGAGCAGCGCCCTCACTGTCCAAGGATATAGAGCTAACTACAATTTTAACAACTTCAGCTGCCGGTCTTTGAGTAACTGGACCTCTCCGATGCTGAGAACGATTGAGTGGAGAGCGGGGGAGAATTCAATGTCGGCGAAGTGGATAGCGACGTGGTTGGCGATCGCCGTGGGTGTATCCCGCTTCTCGATCCAGGCTCCGGTCAGTGAGTTTCTCCGTGTGCTCGCGAACTGCGAGTACCACGACAAAGGAGGGAGTTACGACGTCGTTGACTTTCTTGAAGACATAGGACTCTTCGCCGAGGCTCGACTTGCCGCAGAGATGCTCAGGCAGAAGAAGGACGAGTATGAACTCGTGTTCGAGGGCGCTGCTGAAGAGAAGCAGGCTGCCGAACACGACCTGGCTGCAGATGCAGAAGAGGAGCGGATGTCCGAGACTGCGCGTGAGCCCGACGGATGCCCCGTGGCATAGAGGGCAACTGGTGAGTAAAATCCCGACAGGATTGATAACTAAATGCCATAGAGTCTGGGGATGATTTGATATCAATGCCAACGGGCATCTTGTCACTCTATCCTTGCCCAAGTAAGTTGCCGAAGGCAGTAGCGACCGAAATCAAGACTTCTTTGAATTATTTGTTTGTGCTCCGGACCGCAACATGCCATTGTTCAATCGTGGACCCGTTGGTTGAGAAACCAGGTTGCTGTGTCCAAAGAGGGCAGGCATTTGAATGACGTTTTCCGGTTCTTGTCGAGTTCATGAAGTCCTGGCGCGGTGGATGTAGTCAGTCAGGCGGCCAGAATTAGAGCCAGTCGCAACTGAAGATCTTCAGCCCTAAATGCGACAGCGCATCAGAACAGAGGCTTCGCGGCTCTTGGCAGGCTATTTTCGGCGTCGTGCCCTGTCCTTGAGCCAATGGAGCCGTCTGGACGTTCGTGCTAGATTCCACTCGCTAATTTTGTGGCGTCGCACTTGAACACGCCCAGCCGTCATTCCGCCCTTTCACTGAATTTCGGTGCTGCCCCTTGTGCGCGTCGTGCGCGTCAAGCTCGTCAGAGCTTGCGTCGAGTTCCACGAGAGGCAAGCATATACCCGCTGGCCGGTGTATAGCTGAATAATCACAAAGTCAATTCTGTCAAAAGCCACACAGAGCCGGCCGGGACAGCGTCTCAACGGTATAGTTACGCTTTGGGTTTGGTACTCACCAGCTCTGGATACCGCACCCGTTGTGAAACCGGCGCGAGCCAATCAAGACCTGTGTCCTGTTGCAGTAGTGGTCAGAGGCTGTTCAGCTAGAGAGTAGCGGGTGGGGCGGTGCGAGTATGCTTAAACTCGATCTAGCGTCGCCTAAGGCGCAGCAGGATTGCAGTCCCCAGGCACCCAGAGCTGAAAAAAACAAAACTTCACACCCGACTGGAATTCCCCTTAATTTCCAGTTTCCATCTCATCTCTGTCCATTTAGTCCCACGTTTGTCTTCTGGGTAACAAGTGCGCGCGGGCGAGTTTTTGGGCTTGCTTCCTGGGACTGCTTCATCCGATTTCATTGCGTGGTTCATAAAGGGGTCTGAATACTACATACATACGTACGAGGTACAGCTATTTCTCCCTGGACCATCTGCCGAGCGAGAGAGCGCCATGGATCCAAATCAACCCCAGTCGCAGCCTCAACAGGCACCGCAGCCCTACCCGCAGCACTACCAACAGGCGCCGCCGCGGGTCTTGCCCTACAGCAAGGCATGGCAGACGACCAAGATCGTCTTCTACTCGCTCTCCATCATCTTCTCTATCATCGTGCTCGGCATATCTATCGCCCTGGTCGTCAACCCCAACATTGAGAGCATCGTCATCATCTGGACTGCTCCCCAGGTCGGAATTGCGCTGTGCTGGGACATCGCCGAGCTGATCACCATTTGTGCGCGTAATGGCCACCGCGGTATTCACCCAGGTGCCCATGTTGCGCTCCATCTGCTGCTGTGGTTGGGAATCAGCGCCGCCATCGGCTTGACCGGCTACTGGGTCGCATTCATCGTGGAATGTGATTACTACTGCCGGAGGTACTCCCGTTATTACAGCTACTATTCCGGCACATACGTCCCGTCGATGCAGGCCCTGCTGGCTTTCCTGTGTCTTCTCATGTAAGTTCAAACACAGCTCCTGAAGGTCTTGTCACTGGTCATGTTTCATCTGCTGACGTCTCCCAGTCTCGTGCACTTCTTCCTCTTTGTCCGTGCCTGCGTCGAGACCGCGCAGCGTAACAGATTGGCTGCCCCAGTGATCATGGTTCCGCAGCACATGTACTACGCACAGCAGCCGATGGCGCAATATCCTGTGCAGCCAGGCTACCCCAACCAGCCACAGCAGGCTCACATGTCGGGATATTATGGCCAGCCTCAGGAGGTCCAGAATCACTTCACTGGGTCGACCCACGTATCGCAGCCATCGGCGCCTACGCCAGTCCATGACAATGCGGCTCACCCGACCTCATCCCAACACGCATAGGCTTTGGGGTATTTTTCAATCACGTTGAGGAAGTAATGGTTCGACTGGAGGGGGGATTTTGAGAAAGAGAGTATGAAGGATGAATGGATGTTGCTATAGATTAATCCTAGCATTAATTGATACCCGATTGGAATTCCGTTTTCGAGCTAGGGAACTGGCTTCAAAATCCTACGTTGTTCCAAGGAATCATAAGAGACTGATCTCCGTAAAGAGACGATACTAAGTTGGGTATCTGGTTGAAGGTTGATGGAAACCCCCTTAAAAAGAAAGGCCCTATAATGAGAGGCTTATTCGTAATGTTTCAGAATTATCCCTGAGCGTATAACATGATCTTGCACACCATCAGTTATCATCACAATCTTTGGCTTGAAATCAATTGGCGGTTGCAAGTGATGTTTGAATCCTAGTCAAATTGTCATGCAAGCCGCTCGTTTGAGTCGCGAACCCACCGGCCCGCTGGCAATCCATGCCGCACTCGGTGGAAACCGACTTTGGGCCCTGGAACCGAGAGGCAAAGCAGGGATTGGTATGCGTCTGGAGCGCTTAAATGTTGGATATGAGTGGTTTCTCGGTTGTATGTGCCGCTGGTCTACAGCGAACACATTGCGCAGTTTCCCCCCCCCCTCCCCATTGAAATAAATGTTATCGTGAATAGAGACTTGTCGAGTCATATCCGTCATATCCGTCATCAGAGCTATGAACAGGAGCCGTCCAAGATCAAGAGAAGATCAACATATATACTACGTCGAAGCCGCTCTGTCGGGACAAGGACAGCATCTGGCAAACCAGGCCCAGCATCTCGTTGATTCAATCCCAGCCGAGCGCGGGATGGCTCCACCGCCCCCTCCCTTTCCGGGGACTGGTTTCAATGCAGAATTGTTTGCCAACTCGTCTGAATTCGCAGTGGACAACACTATACACTTGGACTGGGAGAATATTGACCGCAAGTCTACCGGAACTTCTGTCATTGACATCAGCTCGGTGTACGATGACTCGGGCCGATCATTCCATGGATACAAGTCTGGCAAGTATTTCTTCCCTAATGATCCAGTAGGTCTTGCCCTCCCCAGAGGCATGTAGCTATACGTTTGCTGAGATTATGCCGCAGACGGAGCAAGACCGGCTGGACCTGCAGCATGCCGGTCTCCTCCTGTTGCTGAACGGCAAACTAGGCAATGCTCCCGTCAAAGACCCCAAATTCGTTTTGGACCTGGCGACAGGAACTGGCATCTGGGCCATGGAATACGGTCTGATCTATCCCTTGCTACAAAGGGTAGGAATGCCAGGATTGCTGACTGGACCCTAGCCCAGCAACACCCCGACGCGCAGGTCATCGGGACCGACCTCAGCGACATCCAACCAAAGTTCCAGCTGCCCAACTGTTCATTCATGGTAGACGATGCCGAGGATGAATGGCTGTTCGGGTCTTCCGACGAGCCCATCAAGTTCGACTATATTCACCTTCGCTTTGTGTTTAGCTGCTTCGACGAACCACGCAAAGTCGTGAGCCAGGCTTTCAAGAACTTGCAGCCAGGAGGCTGGATGGAGTATCTCGAGTCTTCGATGGAGTTCCATAGTATCGACAACAACATCGAGGGTGCGTGTGTATTGTGTGTGCTGAGAGACATTGCCGCAAATTGCCGTGACTAAGCATCTGCACGTATGCACATCATGGCTGATCTAACTCCCTAGGAACCGCACTCAAGCAATGGGCAGAATTATCATACCAGGGATTGGCGAAAAAGGGCCGGGATGCTAGGGTTGCAAAGAATTACGCACAATGGATGCGGGATGAGGGATGTAAGTGTGCAAGATTTGCCACCATTGTGATGACAAAAAGCTAAGTCGTATATTCCAGTCGTTGATGTCCATGAGGAGATTCTCATCTGTCCCGGTAACCACTGGCCTGAAGACCGCAGGCTGAAACGCTGTGGGAGATACATGCTAGCCAATTGTCACCAAGGATTCCGTGGCAACGCGTGGAAGCTGTTTAAAGAGTGTGGTCTTGCGTCGGACGAGATCGAGACGCTCGTGTCGGATGCGAAGAACGACGCGGCTAACCGAAAATATCGCTGGTTCTGGCCTGTGTGAGTGGTTCATGATGCCGATGGCATGATCCTTTGCTAATTCATCCTAGATACGTAGTATATGGCAGGAGGCCTTTCGAATGGGAAGTCGCCACTTCATCCACTGGCTCCCAAACTGAGACTATGATGAGCAACATACATTACTCTTAGCATAAATGAGATATAACTTCCAGTAACGCCCATACCTACCCTTTCAAACCTCTCTCCAGACTTTCAACAAGCGCCTTTGCACGTGCTGCAACCATGCCAGACCTGCCATTGCTCACATCTTCCGAGAAGCTCACCCTCGCCTTCCACCATTTTAACCACTCCTCTGCTCTTGTTCCCTCGGGTGCATCGAGAAGGCCCACGCTGACGTCGATCAAGTCCGGCCTCCATTTGTCATGCCAAAAGACCGTGGCACCACACTTCACGCAGGACTCGCGCAGCACGCCAGGCGAGCTTTCGTAACTACGAAGTATTCCCTCCGGCAAGGTTGAAAAGTCCAGTGGCATAAGTCGGGCTTTCCCGAGATCCTTCGTGCCAGCCCCTGCATTGGAGGTGTCGGCAATGTGGAAGATAATGTTGGACCTGGGGATGAAGGCCCACGTCTGAATCTCGAAACCCGATATCAGGCGGCATGAGCGGCACGCGCAGGTACCAGCAAGATATCGAGTGGGCACCAAAGCGTCCTCCGGCTGAAGCCACCATTTCAAATCATGGGGGTTCTTGATCTCCGATGAGCCAGTATGATAAGGGACCATCAGGTCAGCCATGTTTGATGTTGGGAGCCGGCTGGAGTCGTTCGGACGAGTGACGTGAAACCTGACGGTACCGCAATGACAGAAGCCCTGCAAAGCCTCGGTCGAGTCACCGCTTTGCATGTTCAGCTGGGTTGATGCTGATGCTGATGCCTCAGGAACATCTTCTCCTGGATATCCCGAATGTTGATGAACAACCAATTCCTTGCCAGCCACGTCCTTGATCCACAGCGAAAGGCCACCGTCAATCGTTCCTGCAACATTCATATGTGCACTGTACTGCGTTTCCTCCTTGATGCCATCTTCCTCTCCTGAGTCATCATTAGATCCCGCTTTCCCTATAACCAGCCCCGTAGCTACGGCCCATATGATCGGACCACCTTCCGTAGAGCCGCGTCGCGAAAATACATGGCTGCCACAGGTACCACAGAAATACCGTCGTAACAGTTTACTCGAAGCGTATATCTCCAACCCTTTGGTTGAGGGCGGTTCCGAAATACACATGTATGAGACGCAAAGAATGCCTGTAGCGCGTCGGCAGTCTGCGCAGTGGCACAGCCGCAACCCCAGAGAGCCCACGAAAGGGTTTGGCGACAGGCATTTCACCGTCTGCGCCGCGCTGCCACAGTGACATGAAATCGTATACTCCGAAACTGCTTCCATGACAGTTGTTGGCCGTTCAGCACCAGAGAGGTTTAGGCGATCACCAGTGACCCCACCCATCGGATCTGTGCCGAAATCTATTGGGGTCCGACTTCAACGTGATTGAGTGGGAGATATGTACCGTTTTCTGTACAGTCCCCACTGTGCTCTAGCGGGGTCTCCTCCCGCCCTCCAGCTACATGATTACTTGTTCACAGTACAACTTCCCCATACAATATCAGGAAACAAGTTCACTTAAATTTAGAATTACAAACAACATCTTGAGCACTGTTGAGAAGAGAGGACGCAATCAACCCACCCCCCCATC